ATTCCCACTGGTAAACCCATCTCTATCTTCCCTGGTACCTAAATTCCCACTGGTAAACCCATCTCTATCTTCCCTGGTACCTATATTCCCACTGGTAAACCCATCTCTATCTTTCCTGGTACCTATATTCCCACTGGTAAACCCATCTCTATCTTTCCTGGTACCTATATTTCTACTGGTAAACCCATTCCTATGCTTCTCAGTACCAATATTCTCCCTGGTAAACCTCTCTCTGTGGTCCCCAGTACAATGCCTGCATTGTAATACAGTACTTTTTTATTTGTATTGTAAGACATTTGAAGGGATTGGGGGAGTCAAGCATCTTTCATGATTTTCATTATTAACCCCAGGGGAATGTAAGTACCAGGGAACATAAGTACGGACCCCTTATAAAATCGATGAAGCTGTGCTCAGAATGACAGATTTGTTTCTGAACTGTAATCTTGCTGTAATTAATAATAAATAGATCAGCTGGCAATAATTCATGCTTACAGTATCTCAAGAGGATAATGTGGTTTTCAGCATGCATAAACAACTCCAGGGTCTAAATTAAAATACTTAAATAAATAGGAAATGTTGAGCCGAACAGAAGGAGCTGTTTCCTATCTGTGAAGCAGAATAGAACCTAAAAACACATTTTCCAGGTTTTATGATAAAAAGCATTACAATTACGCTCTTTATCTGCTTTGCTTTTTTTTGTTCCCCCCACAGTGTTACTTTCTTGATGTTATTTTAGTTTAGTGCACGACTAACAGCASAAACCACTTGACTCTAGACTGAAATATATTTCTTTTAATTCTCCGGGGCACTGAAAGCTGTAGCCCGCCGATCTGCAGCACATCTCATTGGGTTTTACAGTCGTCGTGATGCGTTTATGCCTGACATTTTAAATGATTAAAGGCAGAGGAAAGCGTTCGAAACCACAGTCTTTTATTTTTATGATGCATTTATGGTTATGGTTTCCATTTGGTCGTTGGGCCTGCAGCAGAAATGTGAAAAATAAAAATAAAAACAGAGGGTGACGAGATGATGCAAATCTGACTGATTTATTTCTCCCATGTAGCAACATGCTAATGCTAATGGTGAATGGTGCCCCAAAGGAAATTTCTTGAAGAATTACTTTTTAACAGATTTTTCTATTGGGGAAAAAGAGACAGGTTTAACGATTTTGGTCAAAATTGAGATATTTTGTTGCATACACAGACAATTAACTTGTACTTTATTTCACGGTGGTGGTCAATAGTAATAAGAATAAAGATTTTCATGAACTTTAACCCCTCTGAATGGAAATCTGACATTCTAGAAACACATTTTTTGTTTTCCAACCACATTTCCCAGTTTTCTCAAAGCCTGTGTTTTATTTATTTATTTATTTTACTGAGGAGTGAGGGCTTAAATTTGAGATTAGGAGGAACACTTGGAGGCTGACAGATGATC